CCCCTCCCATCAGCCTGCCCCCTCCCTCCCTACACACACACACACACACACACACACACACACACACACACACACAAAGGTGACTCCCATCCCCATGGCTTGCCTTGGTCAGGAGGGAAGGAACTATCCGGAACTACAAGGCCCTTCTCCTGGAAGAGAGTGCAGTCAGGTGCAGAGCTGTGTGGGGAACTCGGCCTCCAGTCAGCCCGCTGATGACTCAGAAGCTAAATATAGCGAGCGATATAAACAGAGCCAGCCACAGAGCAAACACAGGGCCCTGAGCCCCGGCTCTCACGCACAGCCCCTCCCCTCCCCCAGGCCCAGGCCTAGGTGGACCTCCCACTTCTGGGACAGAACCTGGCTCCTTAGGGACCCTCTCACTCTTGGGTGAATCTCTGGGGCTCATGTTTGCAGAGGCCCTCCGCTAGGGTCTGAAAAAACTTCATTAACCACTGTCTGTGCTGCAGAAGCCAATTGCCCAATCGGAGATACCCCCCCAAAAGGTCAGGAGGCAGTCAAAAGTCCCAGAACAAAGGATCCAGACCACTGGCTGCAAAGCTGCTAGTTAAAAAAAAAAAAAATCGTGCAAACACCACTTTGCCTGCAACATCCAAAAGAGCTCTATGAGAATATAAAGCCAGTTCTAAGCAAATTCCCACATCCTGTCTTCATATAGGTATATGATCCTGTCTGGTATATGATACAATCTTCCAAGGGCTTTTACCTTACCCCTATAAAGTAAGGATGAGAAACGGGCTCGGAGACTTTCAACGGCTGGTCTGGAACACAGAACTCCTAAGTGGCAGAGTTGGGAGCCCCTCTGATTAGCCTTCTGTGATATCGTAACTAAAGAGGGTTGGAAGGGAGTAGCGGCTGACATTTCTTTGCAGGTTTTGTTTCAGTGAATAGTAATGACTATTCAAGTTGTTTCCAAGTCTGACTCTTGTGAATGGAGCTACCCCTGGCCCAGGTGAAAAAGTAATTTCCAACAAGAAGAATCCCCACCATCCTATAGCCTTATTCATCGAATGACCCACCAGAGCCACTCTTTGTTGAAGATTCTGGGCTTCACCCTGTCCAGCTACCCCTACAAGTGTCAGGATGAGCCATGAGGTCAGGAGACTTTTCTAACGCACTATGCGGCCACGGTTACGCAGCCTGGGCAGAGGCCACAGCGGAGAGGCTGGAAGGAAGCAGGCTCAGCTCTGGTCTGGACGGCCCAAGAGGAAGTGAACCCTTCTTCCCAGCATAAAGCGAACGGTCACCCTTGGTGCCTGCGTTAAGGCAGGCTATGGTCAGCAGACTACCAGGGGCGAACATACAGAGTAAAGAGAAACCCTTGCCCACCTGACCAGTCAAGGAGGGTGGGAGAGGTGAGCAGGTATCGATAAAGTTGTGGCCTCCACTCACTCGGCCTCTCACTATCATCCTGCTCCAAAGACCCCAAAGATCAACAAGAGCACCTCATTGATATTCTGCCTCCAATTCCTTGCCCACTCTCCTAACCTGTCCCCCACAGCAGACCGCTTTGGTGACCTGTCTAGACCTCCACCCAGGATACTATACTCTGTGAGAGATATGTTGGGGGAGGGGGGTAAGAGACAGTACAGATGGACACTTGCCTGCATGTGACTGACCCCAGTGTGATCCTGGTCCCCCAAGTACTGCTGGGAGTGACCTCCAAGCACAGAGCTCATGAGCATTGCCAGGTATGGCCCCCAAATCAAACCAAATCAAAACCCAGAAAAACAGGTCAGAAAAACTGAGGTCTGTAACCAGGGACAAAATGCAGGGTCTCACATTCCCTCCAGGATCTGGGAGAGTGGCAGTTCTGCGGTCCCATCTCAGGACAAAGAAGGAAAGGACCAAGCCCTCCACCTCTCGTTGCCTTTTTTTTTTTTTTTTTGCTTTTTGGGTTACACCCGGCAATGCACAGGGGTTCCTCCTCGCTTTGCACTCAGGAATTACTCCTTGCGATGCTCAGGGGACCATATGGGATTCTGGGAATTGAACCCGGGTCGGCTGCATGCAAGGCAAATGCCCTATCCACTGTGCTATCGCTCCAGACCCTCTCGTTGCCTCTTGGGCTGTCTGCTATGGCTCTCTAAGCTTAGATGGCAGTGATTATTGGTGTCTGAGAACAAGAGCTTAAGGCCAGAACAGAGTCTGCATGGACCTGGGTCCCATGGACAGAGCAGGGAGAGGGTTGCAGGGCAGGCAGCTCCATGCAAGGATCAGCTTGGAGAGCGGGGTGGGAACGAGGCTTGTGAATAAACAGGAGCAAATGTGGGGGAATCAAGCATTAAAGAATATCTGCAGAGTGCCCGGGACGGTCATAGGTATCTTCTCAAGCTTCTCTGTGAAACGCGCAGGTCTTAGCTTTCATTGACAGAGGAAATGGATTCTGTGGGGTCCTGTGGCTGCCCCATGACAGACACTCAAACCCTGGCCGTGTACCTTTGGGGCCAGAGCCCAGAGACCTCATCCTAAACGCTCTCTCTCCCAGCCTCTGTTTCCCTGCCTGCAAAGGTGAGGAAAGGGGTGAGGGAAGTGGAAAAGCATCAGAGCAGGGATGAGACGACAATGCTTTCCAGATACGAAATGTTCCACTGGAATTCATTTAATCACCAAAATCAGAATGTGACTCACTGCTGACAACCAGTTGCCCGGGTCCTCTGAATGTCAGTGGTCTCCCTGCTGAAGACTGATCCTCACATCCCGTCCTCACTCCCCACTGCCTCCCAAACTCTCAGGGAGGGCTGTGGGAGGTGCTGTGAGCAGGAGACAGAGAGAGGAGGGGGCAAAAAGGAAGAAAATTCCATGGGCAGAAAGCCCAGCTTTGTGTAAAGGCCTCTCTGGCCACTCTCCTGCTGTCACAAGGTAGAGAGGGGGTGGCTGGCAGGTGCCTGGGGGCCACGGGGATCTCTGGTCAGCTGCTCTGGCCCTCAGTCTGCTGGGTGAGTGGCTGAGAGGCCACTGTCCTGTCTAGAGCCGAACTGTGTCTTACAAGAGGCAACAGCAGAGCAGGGGGACGTGCCAAGCAGTCCAGGGCAGGGCCACACCTGGGGTACAAACTGATTCAGGAAGGAAGAGGGCACCCAGGGCTGTGCTCCAGTCCCGTGCCAAGCCCAGCTGGGAAGGTGCCTGTGGCGGCCTAGCCCACAGGGGCTGGCCACTGGACAAGGGGAAGTTCTGGGAAACATGGATGAAGAAGTCTAGTAGGGATGAAGAAAGCTGCCTTCCAGATGGTTCCACAGAGGATGGAGGAGCCCTGAGACTTGTAGCCTCCATCTGCTCCAGCACCGGCCCTGGAAGCTGGGAATTGGCCTCCTGGCCGGGGCTGTTCAAGGCGGGGAGAGGGACTGAATGGGCAGAAAGGAAGCCAAGAGACCTCAAGAATCAGTGAGTCTACACACGGATGGACGGAGGGGTGAACTCGGAGCCAAGTTTCCAGAAAACAATCAAAGGAGGGGCTAGGGAACTACAGCTTCTGGGGCCAGAGGGGGAGGCCAGGCAGTCTTTCTAAGTTTAGGGTCCCCTCCACGTGCCCCCACTTCCTGATCACTCCAGGACGGAGGGAGCCAACCAGGACCAGGTCAAGCCCCACATTTCCCTCAGCACCACCTCTCACCCCCAAGGCAGGAAACCCAGTCAATTTCTCTTTCCCCTTGGGCCGATAAGGATTTGCCCTTAAGCCAAAGTTACTATTCCCTGGTTCTCCGGGGTTAGAAAACCTTTTGGGTCGGCCTAGTCCTAGGAAGTGATTTTGTTGACTTCCTGCCAGCTAGACAGACAGACAGACAGACAGACGGACACACACACACACACACACACACACACACACACACACACAGCCCAGAGACAGAGGTGGGGACATGTCAGTGCATTCCCAGGTGACTGTGCCTTGGCGTCAGTCATGGCTGCCCTAGCCAGGATCCGCTCCCCACCTTGGCAGTCAGCCAGAAAGGCAGCGCAGAGAGGAAGGGTTAAGTGCCTCGGGGGCTGGCCCAGACAGCACCTCGGAGCCCGGCAGCCTCCAGCCCGTGGCACGGAGGGCTCCTGCAGCACGAGCCTGCCAGCCGCCGCTTTTGTTGATGGACTCTGCCACATGTTCGACTGACACACGATGCTCCGCCCTGGCGGGGCTAGTGCCAGGCTGCCAGCCAAGCACCCGGCCCAGCACCGGGCAGCAGGTCCAGAGAGACTCTCCGAGGTGCACACACACAGAGTCCCAGGCCCATTCCCAGACAGAGACAATGAGGAGCAGCCTCCCCAGCTGGAAAGTGTCAGGTTACAACCGGTTCCACCACTTTCCCCCACACACTCAGTACCATCCCAGGGTTTCCCGCTTCCCACTGAGTCTCCTCTGCCAGCCCCCCCACCCCCACTGTCCAGCTGAATTGCAGCACCCTGAAAAGAACCTCTCTCCTCTCTCTCTCTCTCTCTCTCTCTCTCTCTCTCTCTCTCTCTCTCTCTCTCTCTCTCTCTCCACCTTCCCCCGGTTTAAGGACCACATCCACTGGTGCAAACAGGCTACTACCCCCATACCACTTTGGCATTTCTCCTGGCAGTGCTCAGGGGACCATGCAATGCCCAAGATCAAACTTGGGACTCCAGCATGTGAAGTGTGTGCTCAGTCCTTTGAGTCGTCTGCCCCTGGTAGGCCCCCAAACACTCCCACTAGGTAAGTGGGTAAGTGAAGGGCAATCCTCGACCCTGGTCTCAAGAAGACTGTTTGTCTAGCAAGGTTGCGGAAAGGCATGTCATTCTCGAAGGGGGATCTCAGCATCTTCTGAGCCCCCTTTCTTACAGGGTCTGGGCTAAGGGTGGGGCTGACAGCCACCTTGGTGCTCTGACTGCTCACCCAGCACTTGGGAATCCCAAAAGCTAAGCCAAAACTCTGGGACCACATCTGAAGCCAGCAGAGACAAACAGGCTCTGCACCCCCCCAACACTCAGACCCCCCCACCCCATGCCCCTCCCAAGCCCCCCAGGCATACTTGCTGCATGTGAAGGCGATGGAACTGGTCTGCGATGCTCTGAAGCTTTCGGGCAATCTGTACCTCCGCGCGCTGCTGCCACTGCCCTTCAGGGGGTGGCTCACCTAGCGGCAAGCTGGCAGGGAAGATGGCAGGGAGAGGGAGCCGGTAGCCCGCATTGCCTGCATAGACAGAGGCGGACCCACACTTCAGCCTTCTGTATGGCTGCCCCACCAGACCAAGACCTGGCTGTGAGGGTAAACCCTAGTACGAAAAGGTAGGGGAGTGAAGCCTCCATTTATTGGGGCACAGGGCCAAATCTGGACGCCTGGCGTGCCTGCTGCAGGGTGTGGAAGAGTTGATGCTGGGCAAACAGGAGGGACTGGCCCAGCTTCCCGCTGCCACCCCCCCCCCGCCCCCTTCTCCCTCCCCCAGCTCCCGCCCCCCCCCCCCCCCCCCCCCCGCACAGATTACATGACTGGGCAAATTTGCCAGTCTGTCCTTATTGACCAAGCTATGTCTGACCACTGTTTACTACTCCGGTAGCAATAGGAATTCCTGTCGTCACCAACTAAAGCTCCTCTCTGGGAGCTACCCAGCACTGCAAGCTCCTGGGTAGCGCAAAACCAGTGAACAGAAAAAGAGAAAACCAAAACTGTCTTCAGGGGGTTGGAGCAATAGGACAGTGGGTAGGGCACTTGCCTTTCATGCAGCTGACCCAGCTCCAAACCCACATGGTCCCCTGAGCACCACCAGGAATGACCCTGTGGTTATAGAGCCAGGAGTAACCCCTGAGCACTGCTGGGTGTGGCGCAAAACCAAAAACAAAACAAAAAGTCTCTTCACTTTTTTTTTTCTGGAGGTGTTGGGACTCACATGCTAACTTTTTTTTTTTTTTTTTTTGCTTTTTGGGTCACACCTGGCAATGCTCAGGGGTTACTCCTGGCTCTGCACTCAGGAATTACTCCTGGCGGTACTTGGGGGGACCATATGGGATGCTGGGAATCAAACCCAGATCGACTGCGTGCAAGGCAAATGCCCTACCCGCTGTGCTATTGCTCCAGCCCTCACACGTTAACTTTTTAGGGCTACAGAGGAAGCCTGGTTTTGGACCCTACAAATTAGGGTGAGTAAAATTGAGAGCTGCCTGTCTCTGAGCAACAGGAGGCCCAAATCCCTGCACTGCGGCTTACTGCCGCAAGGGGCGCCGGCCCGCCCGTCTCCTCCCTCTTCCAATCCCGCCAGAATTGCCCAGCCTGGATGGCTCTGGGGGCCGGTCCCGCAGGGAATCACCACATCAGCCTCTGCCAGAGAACCTCGGCTCCTGTCCCCTCCCTCGGCCAGCTACAGTGCTAAAAAGAGAAAACAGACAGAGGATCTAACCCTGCCCTTTTGCCAGAGAAGGGCTCATAAAACAAACCATTTAAGCCCACAAATGAAGGGGTCTTGTCTGATTGAGCCTTGGAAACAGCCCCTCTGCTGGCAAGGAGCCCAGCCAGGCCCAAGGCCTCTTCTTTCTCCAGTTCCTGTTCCAAGCACAGAAAGTCCCAAGTGACTACTGGAAGCCACCTTCTGCCTTCAGGAACCTTCCCTCCCAGAAGGGACGGGGGTTTTCCTTTCTGTGTCAACAGCTGCACATAGCACCCCCAATTCTCCAGGGCAAGGTTAGCTCCTTTATTGACGAGATCTCCGGGCACATCACTACCAGGATGCAGGAGGCGGGGCCCCCAAGACATAAATGTAGAGGCCCACATTCCCTTCCTCCCATCCATGGACCCTCCAGGAAGCAGCAAAAGAGGAAAATTCAAGGCAAGGCAACTGGCTCTTTGGGGGGGGGGGGCGGGGCGGGCACAGGGCACCAAGAGGTGACAGGCACCGAGCAGGGGGTGAGCAGGGGGTGAGAATCGAGGAATCAAGAGAGCCTGCCGCTGGGTTTGGGGAAGGAAATAGCAGAGGCAGGTTTGGGGAGGGAAAGTCCCCTCTTTTCCCCCAGTCTCTATGGGAGGAGTCCCGAGGCTGAGAGCACTCACCATAAAAAAGGCGCTGGGGTTCTTCTGTTACCCCACAAGGCAACATGACACCCTGGCTGGGGGAGGCTGGACTGAGGGTCTGGGTGGCCTTGTCTTCCTGGCTGGTGGGGCGAAGTCCAGGGCCACAGCAGTGGGTGAGAGGGAAGAGCTGCAGGCGGCTGAGGGGACAGTCCAGCTGGCTCTGGGCAAACAGGTCAGCGGAGAGCAGGCTCCCAGGCTGGGTGCTGGGCTCCCCATCCTCCGGCTGGAACACATCATCCTCCAGCTCCTCCACACACTGAGGCGGCTCCATGTCCCCTGAGAAGGCACAAGACAAGCCTCTGGTATCCACCTGCACCTGTTCCCTGCCCCGTCCTCCTCTGATGGAATGGGTCCAGCTATGGAGATCTGGCCATCCTGGTGGTAGATCCTGCCAGTCCTGCACCCCCCATCCCCCCTTGCCGAAATGTGGACTGCCTCAGAGCTCAGGGACACTCCACATCCCTTCTCTGGGTCTGCCCAGAGTAACCCTCCTCTTGGCCTCTCCCTCTGACCCTTCTCAGTCACGTTGTCTGACTTCTATGGACCCCGTCAGGGTAAGGTCAGCTGCTGCAAGAACAAGGGCTACCTGGGGAAACGTCAACAAGGCTAGGCTCCAGGGGCTGCGGGAGAGCAGAAGGGTGCTGGGGCCGGCTGCACACCCAGCACTCACAGAACAGACACACACACGCGCGCGCGCACACACACACACGCGCGCACACACACACGCACGCACACGCTGCCCTGCAGTCACCACCAAGGCTCTGGGAGCTTCCCTGCAAAAACAAAAGCAAGCGATTCCCGGCTGCCAGGTTCCCTCCAAACCTGCTAAGCTCCGCCCCGCTGCCCATCTCTTCTAGTCTCCACCCCCTGCTTGCTCAACACAACAAACAGGCTCCCCGATGTGGTAAGAGTGTGTCCTGGGAGGGAGCGAGAGAGGAGAGACAGAGAAGAGAAAGCCCGGTTAGCTGCTTGTAGTTTAGCCCAGTGGAACTGTCTGCCCAGGTTGGTCCAGGGGGTAGGTAGGGGTACCCAGCAAAGTGGCCAGCACCCCCCACACACACACACAGTCCACTCACCAGTCTCCCTGACTGCAAATCTTTCCTCCCAGCCCACCATTCCCGACATCACCCAGGCTGAGATTGGTACAACCTGCCTCACAGAAGGAAGTGAAATTCAGCCCTCTCTCCGTGTGACCTCACTCACCGCCTGTGCGAGTCAGGTTGGTGATAAAGAAGTTCCTCTCACACCACCTGATGGCTCTTGGGCGTGGAATTTGGAGCCATCCAACATCTTGAACTTCCAACCCAGACAGAAAAGACAAACAGACAGACAGACAGACAGACACACACACACACACACACACACACACATACACACACACACACACACACACACACCAGCCCCCCTGGGGCAGTAACCACCTGAATGGTTAAGGTTACAGAGAAACAATGTTTGTCACTGTCAGATTCAATTAGAGATCCCCTGGGAATTGACTCCTGCCTTTGAAGAAAGTGCCAAATGGTCTGTGGGTTAGTGCAGGACTTAAAGGAATCTCAGTTAAATTCAGAAGATCCTGGCTCTCCCCCACACAAGCTGGCTCTGAAGTGCATGAGTGTGCAAACTGTCTGGGCTCCAATCTCTGCCTGGACCGTGAGGAGATGTGCTCCACGCCAGGGAAACGGGCATATGGCAGCTCTCCGGGGACTATTTCCGAGAGAGGGTGAGGGAATTTCAGCTTATCAGTACGGGGAAACAGAACTGCCTACTCAAAGGACCAAGGGTGGTTCTGCCAGTCACCTGGTTGGGGCTTCCCTGAAGTCCTTCCACTTCGTCGCTGCAAACTGGCAATTCCAACCTAAGAAGGGACCCTCGGAACCAATCACTAGCGGGACTCATTGTCTTGGCTTTTCCTTTGAAGCCTTCACCTCCCCCTCCCCCACTCAGCAAAGCCCCAAAGTTCAGCCCCTGCCCGGACTGGACCGTGGGGGGAGGTGCAGCCCGAGGGCGCGGCCGGGCCAGTGCCCGCTCCTCCCCGCTCTCCCCGCAGCTACTGCAGGTGGTTCTTCCCTAGGCAGGAGCCACCCACCCGAGAGGGTGCTGAGCACAGTCTGATGGAATCGCGAAGACACGAGAAGGACCCTCTCCTCCTGGCCCTGAGTGGAGGAGGTGATACTCAGATCGGCAGGAGAAGGTGCGCTCCAGCACCCACCGGGAAAGCTTCACTCCGAGCCAGGGGGGGCGCGAGCCCGCGGGCGCTTTCCCAGCCCCTCGGGGCTTTCGCGGGGATGCTGAACTCAGGCTCCTCCTCCTGGAAGGCGGCAGGAGCCAAACCCTCGCTCCAAAGCTCCACCGGGGCTCTGCAAACGCACATCTCCCCGCGCGCGCACACTCACAGCGCAGACCTGGGGGGCTCCAGGAGAGAGTCTCGGCCTCCGAGTCGTGATGCCAGGGCTCCGCGCCAGGGTCCAGCGTGACGAGCACTCGGGGGCTGGGCGCCCAAACTCAAGTGGCGAGGAAGAGGTGGGAGGGAGAAGCGGGCGGAGTGGGGCGGGGGGGGTGGAAACCCAGCTGTAAATTAGGAGACGATCCGTCGGACTCTGCAGCACAGGCAGGACGCCTCCCCCTAACGACTCCCCTGCCCCTAGCCCAAAGTCAGCTGCAGAGCCCGGGGGGTATCGCTTGGCTGCGGGGCCGCCCCCGCAGTGCTCCGCAGGTTCTCCTGCCTACCTGGACCCTTACTCCCGGGAGATTCTGGCGCTGCTTATTTCCCGCAAGTTCCCTCGTGGAGCAGCGTGCCTAGACGTGGGTCCTTGCAGCAGCACCACCCCCCTCCCCACCGCCACTTTCACACACTAGAGCCCCCGTCCTGCAGGGTCACCCCGCAGTGGCCCTCAGCCCAACCCTTCCCGGGCCCCCACGCGCAGCGCGACTTCGCTTCCCACTTCCCCCCGCCCGAGGAGGTGCGATCCGGTTCGGCCGGGTCCTCCCAGCGCTCGGGCGCTCACCCGGCCGGGGCGGGAGGCGGGAGGCGCGGCGAGGGGCGGCGGCGGCGGCGGGCTGGACGGCGCGGGAGAGGCCACTCTGCACCGCGCGGTATTGTTTCCAAAATACGCCCGCTCCGGGCATCCCGCAAACAGCTGATGAGGCCCCGCCCCCGCGCGTCAGGCCCGCCGCGGCCAATGGCAAGTGGAACCCCAAGTCCCGGGCTGGGCGCCGGCCAGGGACGGTCAAGAATGTGCGAACCTTCCCTAGGAAACATGTCAAGGGGCCGAGCAAAATTCCGACCCCCAGTCCAAGACGCAAGGCGAGCGCACTCGTCTGCGCAGGGTACTTTCCCGACGCAGGCTCGGTAAGCACCCGAGGGTCCCCGGGTTCTTTCGGTTCGAAGGGAGAGAGGGGGCGCCAAAGTGACTTTTATCTTCTCCGTCTCTGGAATAGGCCGAGTAACGAGGGCGCGTCCAGAGAGGCGGAGGTGGGAGGAGGAAGGGTGGGTGGGGGAGCTTTAAGGCGCGCCCGCCTTTCCTTGGGTGCGAGGTGCAGGTCCCTGGTGGATCCTGGGTCCAAAGAAAACCGCAGTCCCAGAGCTGTCGGAAGCACGGGAACAAGTGTGTCTGGCGCTGTTACTGTGTTGCAGAATCAGAAACCTGCAGAGGATTGCTTGACCGGGCACGGATGCTTTGAAAACAAGCAGCCTTCGGCGACTAGGGGGCTGCGTGGGCAGTGGACACGCCTCCTGTTTGGGGCGGTGTCCAGAGACCGCGCTCGTGAGATCGCAGACTGTCTTGCAAAGGAAACCTTGTACGAGCTATTTCGCGTGAATCTACACCCTACATTGTTCCAGTGACTGCCCCCCCCCCCGCGCCAAACTTGATGCCTGCCCCCCGGGAGTTTACCATCTTCTCGGGGTGCTAACCCAGGAAGAGAGGCAAGCTGCATGGACCGTGTTCTTATCGGGGACAAGCATGGCCGGGTGGTGCAGCGCTGGGAAACGATGCGGATGGCTTTTGAGTTGAGCTTTGAAGAATGGGGAATTTTTTTCAGTAAGTTAAACCAGCAAAATAAAAATAAATAAAAACAGGCTTGCCATGCACATGGCTGACTCGGGTGTGATTCCTCAGCACCCCATATGGTTTCCAAACCCTCCAAGAGTGATCCCTGAGCACAGAGCCAGGAGTAAGACCTAAGCACCAACTGGTATGGCCCAAAAAATTTTTAAAGGGGGGTAGGGGTGGGATTAAGGGCCAGAGATGTGGCTCAGTGGTAAGAGCACTTTCCTTGCATGTGTGAAATCCTGGCAGCTGGAGGAAAAGAAAAGAAAAGAAAAGAAAAAAGAATTTAATCCTGAAAGGAGTGGACTGAGCAAGCCTGAATTTTAGGAAAGCTAAATGAAGCAGCGAAAATTCAGTGAGGGAGAGGGAAACGGGGCCTCTAATGGACTAGGTGAGTCATGATGGGGTCTGACCCAGAGGGTCAGTGGGGACTGGCCACAAGCTGCTCTCTGCCAGTAACTCGCATTTCATCTAAGTGGAACTGGGACCTTAAGCCCAGGCAACCCTTAAGGCTCCTTATACTTTTCCTGAACATTGTTTCCCCAAGTCCAAAAAAGGAAATCTAGGGGCCAGGGAGAGGAAGGAAGAGGATAGGGCTTAAGGCAGTTGCCTTGCATGTAATGAACCTGTGGTCAATTCCAAATTTGGATCCCTGAGCCCTGTCCCCTACCGCTGCCCCACATACCGTCAGGAATGACACCCCCCCCACCACCACCACTTAGGTGGGAGTAGCCCCCTGCAGCACTGCTAGGTGTCACCCATTCGCCCTGCCCCCCAAAGAGTACCTGAAAAATTACAGATAGGTACCATGAAAACTATAGTGGTGAGAGCCAGAGAAGTTGTCACCAAAGGATGCAGAAGGGAAAGAAGGGAGAGTCAAAGCTGGCCAGCAGCCCAGTTCCCCCTGGAGCTGACAGATGTCCAGAAGAGGTGCTGCAGCCAAAAGGAGGTATATTATTTTACCGGGAGGCTTGGCCAAGAGTGTCAGAACCGGTTGGGGTGACCTTGTGTTTATGCCACATGTTGGGGGGGATGAGGAAACCACGTCCATTCTCCTTGTTATGCCCTGGGGAAGCCCCGCACTGCTGGCCATGCACAGACCCTCTCTCTCTTCTCCCTCCTTCCAGCCTCCATTCCCTCCATCCTTATTGACTTTGTGGGGGTGAAGTGGGGGGAGGTGACTCAGGCTACGAGTGGCACCCAGGGCATGGCTTCAGGTCAGAGTGTAATTGCTTCTGGGCAACTTTGAATCCATGCCCCGGGGCCACTCAGGCCCAGGGGGGTGTGCCATCTAGCCTTATTCTCCAAGCCTGGCAAAATGCTAACACCCTCTGCTTCACAGGAGCCCTGGAAGGGAGAATTGGGTCCCTGAGGGAGAGAAACTACAGAGCAGGAGTTTTCCCTGGGAGCCCATACAGGCTTTGGGGTCTCTCTCTCTCTCTCTCTCTCTCTCACACACACACACACACACACACACACACACATATGCATCGCTAAGAAAATGGCTGAGCTATAAGTTCCTAAAACCTGGTGGGGGCTCTAAGGCTTACAAAGATTACCCTTGGGGGTAGAGGGGACAGGGAGATAGTATATCTAGGCACATGCCTGGCCTAAGTTCATTTGCTGGCACCATATAATCCCCCAGCATCACTGAGGATCCCTGGTGGCCTCCTTAGCACAGCGAGATGTGGCCCAGGAGCTTCCTGTAACTCCAGCACTGCTGACCTTGCCCTGAGCCCCCCAAGTCCATTGGCCATGGGCCCCCCAGCCTCCTGAGCACTATTTGGGAAACCTCCACCCCCCACCTCCCCAAAACAAAATTTTTCTGTAGAGTTCTGGGAAATGGCAAGAGGACAGCAACTTTATGGGGCTGGGCATTTTGCAAGCTGAGAACAGGGTCACACCCTCTAGTGACATTTCTTCTAAGAACTGGCAGCCCTTCCCAACCTGCTCCTACTTAGGCTGATTATAGAGCAGCCCCCACCCGAGGGGGGGGGCATTAGCCCTTGGGCCCTCAGCCCCTAAGGTGGCATAGCAGAAACCCAGCCTGGCCTTCTGAGCGTCAGGGACCAGAAAGGCCTGTGAGGGATAAAGGGGCCAGGGAGGTCAGGCACATCCCTCCCCACCTCTCATCACTGTCAAAGCAGATCAGCACTCTGTGCCCTTTCTCCCCAGCCATCACAGGGCAGATGCAGGCTCCCGCACCCCCACCCTGCAGTGTCAGGACCTGCTGGATGCCAATCTGGTGTCAGACCCCCCCACACACACTCCCCTCTGTATCAGCGTCCCAGTAACTGTCACAAACCCTTTGACTGGGCTCAGAGCAAATGTGACCTTTGCTTTGGAAAAATGTTCTTCTTTTCTCTTCCCACCCCTGGTCCCCGTTTGCTGACTGACACTAGCTCTAGAAGGAGGCTCCCCAGAGAAAGGCCTCAGCCCGGAAAGGTGAGAGGGGTACAGATCTTGCTGGGGATCTGGGAGGAAGGCAAAGAGTTAAGAGGAGGCAGTTTGCAGGGGAAGAGAAAAGCCAGCTCTCTGCTGAAAGCGGGCAGGAGCCGCTCCATTGTTCCACCTGGCTATAGGGTTTCTCTCAGAGACAAGGCATGGACTCTGAAACTCCTGTAACTGGATCACTGGGAAGGGAGGGTTTTAAAAAACCAGCTGACAGCTGAATAATAGGAATTACCAGGCAGGCCGCCCTGGGGTTACCGAGGCTTGTAACTCAACCCCTGAGAGGGGTTAGATTAGAAACTGATTTATGGGGTGGGTGGGGGTCTTGGTGGGGGAGCCCATAGTTGACCCCCTTGACTCTTAACTCCCTCCAGGGAGTTAATGTACTTTTTAAAAAGCCCAGAAACCTGGTAGACTTGGACTTGGTGTCCTTTCCTAGCTGGACTTAACTCTAGCCAGTGAATT